AAATTAAAAAATTAAACGTCCAGCTAAAGATGAAAAGTGACATGCATGTACTATTTCCTGCTCCTTCCTGAAAACTACTTGAGAAGACAATAAAAGATTAAAGAGGATATAAGTGTAAAACCCCAGAAGATGGAAAATGAGAAAATGGTAAAAAACTGAATGCTTGGAGGTAGGTGTCTATTTTGCAGAGGAAGAACATTAAATAATAAGCCACCAGATATGATGGAGTATCATACACATAACTCTCTCATTGTCATAGAGTTAGAACCAACAGCTAGCTGGCTCGGTAGATTTTCATAGAGTACAAATTACACAGGAGGAGACTGTCTGTAATCCTCCCAAGATGCAGCTGATGAATTTGAACCCCGTGCCTTTGGGTTGGCAGTGCAATTCTCGACCCACTAAGCTACCCAAGATCCCTCAGCACCAAACAGAATAAGGAAAACAGAAAAATCAAGTGAGAATGTACATATTGAATGTCAGCATTTTTTCTACAAGCCTGTAAAAACAAATCATCACCCTTACAAACTGCCCCTTCCCCCCACCCAGGCTTGTGTATGAGCTCTACTGTTATTTGTTCTTGGGTTTTTTGTTTTCTTTTTAAGTTTTGTCTTGTCTTCTTTCCCATGGTGTCCGTAGTATACCCTCTGGCACAGTAATAATGGACCTTCTTGGTGACAGTATGGATGCTGTGGTGTTAAGGGTATACTGTTCAAAATGGTTTCCCCAGCTATTGACTTTCATTTTGCCAGGTGGCTAGGTAGGAATATGCGAACAGGGTGTTAGCCAAACCACAACGAAATTGGCTAGTCTTGCCATTTGATTGAGGCAATTCAGCAGCAGATGTTGAAAATCTCATCACCAGAAAAAAAAAAAAAAAAAAAAAAAAAGAAGCAGCAGGCATGCAGTATACACCCTTTGGGACCAAAGATTCTTGTGCCAGGCGGACCTACAGCAGCAGCAGCCATGGCTGAAGCAGAGAACCAGAGACCTGACATAAGACAGAGCTAACTTTGGGACTGTTGCCTCATGGAACCAAAGCTAAGAGCATTTGCCTAAGTGTGTTGGAAGACTGCGGGAACCATAATTGGCAGGACTGAGAGCTCTGTAACTCTGGCTTAACTCTGTGAGGGTCAGGGCTGAGGTGCCTGCAAATACATTTTGGAAGTTGTCCTGACTAAGTGATTGTATTTTGCCACCAATGTGAACCTTTTGACTTCCCTAATAATGTTCTGTGTGGTCTGTGAGCTACTGCAATGGCTATTGGACACAACAGAACAGTAAAATTGGTGTTGGGATAAGTAAAAAGAGGTGCAGGAGTGTGAGGAAGATTTTTGACCCCCATGGGAATTGGTTTTGGTGTTGTGGCTGTTCTTGATGGTGACAGTTCCACTGTGGAGTTGGTGGAGGGCAGATATGGCCATCTCCACGCGGTCCTTCCTATTTTTACAGATGTTGCATACTGCTACCAAACCATACAAGATATTCCCAACTAAAACTCTGATGTCTAAAGAAAGCTCATACTTCAAGCTAGTCTTAGAGGACTAGACCTTGATCTCACTTTACTTCTCTGTCCAGTGGTAGAACTCTCACTTTCTATGCAGGAGATGTAGGTTCGAATCCTTCATATATAGCCACCCTCTATGTGTTAGTGGAGGCTTTGGAGGCTTATATGTTGTTATGATCCTCAGCAGCTTTCAGCAGAACGCCAGACTAAGAAGGACTAAAAAGAACGGCAATCTGGTATGGAAAAAAAAAGAAATCAAAACCTGTTGTTATATTTTGCCGAGTTGCCTGTACTCATGTACAGCAGCTCTGAAGCCTGCCCTGTTCCGAGCCAGTCCTACTAACTCCCAACACATTTACCCTCCTTACCCCAGTTAATGTGTCTTCTCATCCAGAACTTTCTCTCCTGTTCTGACCTTCCACCCTTCCAAGCATGATGTCCTTCTCCTACAAGGACCAGACCCTCCTGGCCACGTGCCCAAAGTATGTGACATGGAGCTTCAAAATCCTAGCCTCGAAGGAGAAATTTGGTTTCACCCTCTCTAAGACAAACCTATTTGTTCTATTTGCAGTCCATAGTATGTTCAATATTTTTCTCCAGCACCACAAGTCAAAGACATTAATTCTTCTTCTGTCATCTTTAGTCACTGCCCATCTCTCTGATGTATAGCAAGTAACTGCAAAGACCATGGACTGAATCAGGTGCACCTTAGTCTTTAGACTGACATTGTTGTTTCTCAGTACTCTGGTGTGGTCCCTGACAGCAGATTTTACTAATGCACTTCATCTTTTCATTTCTTGACTTCTGGTGCCAAGAGTGTTTATTGTGGATCCGAGCAAGCTGTAATTGTTAACAACCTCATCTCTTATCCATCTATCATGGTGCTGCCAAATGGCCTGGTGGTGAGAATCCTTGTCTTCTTGATGTTGAGCTTCAATTCATATTGAAGACAACAGCTCTTGACATTCTGCAGCAAGTGCTTTAGGCCCTCCTCAGTTTCAGCAAGCAAGGCTGTATCATCTGCCTAACATATGTTGTTGATGAATCTTCCTCTAATCTTGATGTCATACTCCTCCTCATAAAGCCTAGCCTCTCCAATTATCTTTTCCACATATAGGATGAAAAAGTATGGAGACAGGATGCACCCCTGATGCACTCCTTTCCTGATTTTTGAACCATGCAATGTTTCCTTGCTGTGTTCTGAGGACTGCTTCCTGGTCCAAGGAGAGGTTTCACATGAGCACAATCAACTATTATATTACCAATCTTCTTAATGTTAGCCACAATTTGTTGTGATCTATGCAGACAAATGCCTTTGCATAGTCAAAGAAACACAGATAGACGTTCCTGTGGTACTCTTTGTTTTGAGCCAAGATCCATCTAACACTGGTGATGTCTACAATGCCAGGACCTCTTCGAAACCCAGCTTGTACTTCTGGTAGTTCTCTGTTGATGTACTGTTCCAGTTGGTTTTGGATAATCTTCAGCAGGATTTTGCTTATGTGTAATATCAGAGATATCATTGGATACTTTCCACATTCTTTCAGATCACCTTTTTTTTTTTTTTAAAATGGGAATATATATGGATCTCTTCCGGTCAGTAGGCTATGCAGTTGTCCTCCAGATTTTGTGACACAATTTGGTGAGCACGTCGAGGACAGCATCTATTTTTAGAAATATATCAATTGGTATTCCACCGATTCCTGAGCCTTCTTTTTTGCCAAGTCCTTCAGAGCAGCCTGAATTTCACCATTGACCATCTGTTGTTTTTTGAAATTCTTCTGTGTCAGCCAATTCTTCTTGGTAGAGTGACTGTATATACTCCTTCCATCTCC